GAGATAGAGAGTTCTGAAGTTTGGTGGGGACCCCCCAAACCAGCGGTTGATTTCCACACAGGCGACGACGGCGCCTTCAAGAAGAAGGGCCAGTACTCGAAGATGCGCAAGGACCCCATCAAGTCGAAGCTGCCCGACGGGCCCCTCGACAGCGGCCAGCAGGGCCGCAACGAGGGCGCGCGGTCCACGTTCTGCCAGTACTACATCGAGCGGAACCTGCCGGACTCGATCCGCAACTCGGACCCGCGCGAGGAGCTGCTCAAGTACGCGGACAAGGAGCCCATCTTCCGCACGGAGGCGACCTTCTACACGGGCGCCGACGGCCAGCGCACGGACATGGCCGACTCGACCCTCGAGGCCGCGGAGGTCGACTTCGTCGAGGACCAGAAGAAGCTCATCAACGCCCGGTCCTTCTCCGCGTCCGCCAAGGACGCGGCGAAGAAGAAGAAGACCTAACCGACGACGCGGGAATCTTTTAGCCTCGCAGGCGCGAGCGGAACAAAATCATGATGCGGGGGGTGGGGTTTCTAGACGGTGTCGGCGTTGACGACGAGCGGCGCCTCGAGGCTCGGGTCCGCCTTGGCGCGGTCGGGCTCGTCGTCGTCGACGGCCCAGGACGTGAGGAGCGCGCCGGCGACGCACGTGGCCATGCAGAAGAAGAGGACGACGTTCAAATTGTAGGAGAGCTCGAGCGTCGGCAGCAGTTCCGTGCCGAGGACCGCGCCGAGCTTGCCCGCGGCGCTCGAGAGCCCGTTCATCGAGCTCCGCATCTCGCGCGGGTACGTCGCGCTCGGCAGCACGAAGGTCGTCACGTTGGGCCCGAAATTCAGCGTGAAGTTGAGCAGGCAGTAGCAGCCGTAGAGGACCCAGGGGCTCACGTCCAAGACGCGGAGCACGATGTAGAGGAGGTAGCTCGCCGCCATGAGGTAGAAGCCGAAGACCTGCATGCGCTTGACGCCGCAGAGCTTGCGGTTCAGCGCCCAGACCGTCGCGAGCATGGCCGGCACGCTGAAGGCCAGCGCGACGAGCTGCTGCCACGACGTCGTCTCCACGGAGTCGGACCCGTGGAAGCACTGCTGGACGATCGACGGGCCCATCAAACCGAAGCCGTAGAAGGCGATGTCGTAGAGGAACCAGCCGCCGCCCGTGCCCGCGAACTGCTTCCAGACCTTGGCGTCGCGCAGGGCGTCGCGCAGGGACGCGTTCGTCGCGGCCGCGCCCGTCGCCGGCGCGTCGGACGTCGCGTCGCTCATCAGGACGACGGCGAGCGCGGGGAGCGCGCCCGCGCCGAGGAGGAAGCGCCACTGGAAGCCCTGCTGCTGGCTCTTGAGGGACGCGCGGAGCACGACGGCGAGCAGGTAGGGCGCGCACATGCCCGGGCCCTGCCAGAAGAACGCGGACGACGACCGCGCGATCGCGTCCGCGCGCTTCTCGGCCTCCGTGGACGCCGCCGCGTCGCCGCTCTCGGCCTCGGCGGCCTTGGTCGCGCTCAGCGGGTAGACGCCGCCGAGGCCGAAGCCGATGACGAAGCGGAAGGCGATGATCGTCGTGTAGACGTCCGTGATGTCGCCCCAGGGCCCGAGGCTCGAGCCGACCGCGCCGACGACGGCGAGCGACAGCGTCAGCGACAGGGCCTTCGTGCGGCCGATGAGGTCGCCGGCGTAGCCCATGAGGAACTGGCCCAGGATGCACCCGATGAAGATGACGGACTTGTCCTGGGTCTTCACCCAGGTCTCCTGCGGCATGTCGCGCTGGGCGATGGCCAGCGCGATGGCGATGACCTGGAAGTTGTACTGCACGGAGAAGTTGGCGATGGACGGGCCCAGGAGCGCGTGCTTCGACGGCTTCGACGACATGATGTCGTGCTGCGCGGCGTCGAGGCGGGCGAACAACCCAAGAGGCGATCACGGATGTCGAGGAGCCTGCTCAAACTGGGCGCTTTGGCCAATCAGCGCGTCGCGCCGTCGCCGCGCGCCTCGTCCGGGAGCGCTCGGAGGTGGGCCCTAGGAGGTGGCTCCACGGCAGCCGACGCTCGCGGCCTCGCGAGGAGCCACGCCGGCCGTCGCTCGCGGTCGCGAGGAGCCACGGCCGCGCGACCCCAGTCCCCGCCGCGCCGCGTCTGCCCGCGGCGTCGAACCCGCGGCGCCGCGCGCGTGTTTAATTAAGAGTCGCACGTTCCTGCGTCGCGCCGCCGCGGCACGTCGCCTAGACGGCGACGAGGGGCTCCTTGTCCGACTCGACGGCGACGACGCGCTTGCTGTAGTCGACCGTGGCGACGTAGAGCGCGTGCTGGAGGGCCGCGGCGGCGGCGAGGAGGGCGACGACGGCCGTGAAGACCTGGACCGTGTCGAGGTGGCTCAACAGCACGAGGAGCACGATGACGTTGAGGGGCACGCGGAAGAGGTTGTAGATCGTCGCGCGCTGCGCGTCCGGGATGATCTTCGACTTGAGCGTGCCCATCGCGGGGAAGTAGGCGCCGACGACGAGCTCGAAGGCGAGGAAGCCCGCGAGGGCCCACGTGGGCCGGCCCGGGAGCGCGACGGGCGTCGCGAGCGCGCACGCGGCGACCGCGAAGAGGCCGCGCGAGAACTTCTCCGGCGGGTCGCGCTCCACGAGGAAGCCGAAGAGCCGCGTGCCCGCCATGCAGCAGATCATCATGACGCTGAAGATCTCGCCGTAGGGCGGCTTCTCGCCGCCGGGCGGCGTCACGGCCTGGGGTTTCGGGAAGGTGGCGCGCGCGCCGGAAATTCGCCCCGTCGTCGGCGCCGGTCGCGCGCGGGCGTCCACTCGAAGACGAAGGAGTACATGGCGGCCTCGAAGCACGACGACACGGCGCCGACGAGGAAGACGCGCCGGTCCCGGGAGATCGTCGCGAAGCCCTTGGAGAACGCGTCGACGGCGGACGCGTACGACCTGAGGAGGAACGGGGTGATTCAACGTCGCTTCAACGTGGGTGTTCCGCGCGCGCGCGTTCCCGAAATAAGCATCCACGCGTCGAGAGCGCACCGAGAGATGATCGCTCGTCCAAAAATCAGCCGAAACGAGTGGAAAACGGCCGAGATAGGAAGTTGGGAATGTCGCACCCTTTTCCTGCGCCGCGTACGACGAGTCGGCGCCGCCCGCGCGCTCGCCGTAGTTCTCGGACCAGGTGAGGAGGATGACGACGCCGCCGACGAGGAGGACGGCGGCGGCGAGGTCGAAGGGCGCGCAGTAGCCGCCGACCATGATCGCGCCGTCGGGACCGCCGGCGTCCGCGACGGCCGAGTCGTCGCCGCCGGCGACGAGCACGCGCATGGGGCTCAGCCCCGCGGCCCACTCGCCGATGACGCCCGCCGCGATGGCCACGAGCGAGTTGCCCGCCTGTGTTTTGCACGTGAGAAGTCGTAAAGACGTCGTAACAGACGCGGGCCGCCGCGCCTGCGCGTTCGCGAACGTCGACGAGAGCCAGGCGGGCTCGAAGCCGCGCGCCGTGTGCTCCGCGACGAGCCAGGCGTCGAAGACGGAGAAGAGGAGGCTCGTCGCGACGCCGCCGAGGACGCGGCCGACCATGAGCACGTTGACGACCGCCAT